TTGTTCTGATACTGGGGATGAATTAGTAGAACAACATTATGAGAGGTTTAAGCCTCTAGTGGTTGAAGCAAAGACCCTCTTGGGAGATCTGAAAAATGTGAGGTCTGGGGACTGTGTTGTGGCATTCTCAAGGAGAGAAATTTTTGAAGTTAAATTGGCAATTGAGAAGTATACTAATCACCGTTGTTGCGTCATATATGGTGCTTTACCACCAGAGACTCGTCGACAGCAAGCGACTTTGTTTAATGATCAGGATAATGAGTTTGATGTCTTAGTTGCAAGTGATGCTGTAGGAATGGGTTTGAATTTAAATATCAGAAGGGTTGTCTTTTATAACCTTTCAAAGTACAATGGTGATAAAATGGTTCCAGTGCCAGCATCGCAGGTGAAACAGATTGCCGGAAGAGCTGGGCGTAGAGGAAGTCGCTATCCGGATGGACTAACTACTACTTTGCATCATGATGATTTGGAGTACTTAATAGAGTGTTTAAAGAAACCTTTTGATGATGTTAAGAAAGTAGGACTTTTTCCGTTTTTCGAGCAAGTTGAGCTATTTGGAGCGCAACTTCCAAATGTAACATTTTCCCAGCTCCTAATGGAATTTGGTGAGAATTGCCAATTGGATGGGTCTTACTTTTTGTGCCAGCACCAGCACGTGAAGAAAATAGCTAATATGTTGGAGAAGGTTCAGGGGTTATCTCTGGAAGATCGTTTCAATTTTTGTTTTGCTCCTTGCAACATTAGGGATCCAAAAGCAATGTACCATCTTTTGAGGTTCGCTTCATCATATGCCCAAAAGCTTCCTGTCAATATAGCAATGGGCATGCCCAAATGTTCCGCTCGTTGTGATTCAGAGCTCTTGGATCTTGAGACTAGGCACCAAGTAGTTTCTATGTACTTGTGGTTGTCTAATCACTTTGAGGAGGAAAGGTTTCCATATATTAAGAAGGCCGAGACAATGGCCACAGATATTGCTCACTTATTGGGTGAATCACTCTTAAAGGCTAGCTGGAAGCCAGAATCAAGGAATGCACGTAACCCAAAGCTGCAACAGGAGGATGGTTATCAGAGGCCAAGGTCGCTGGTTAAGTTACAGGAAAAGTAAGTTGTTCTACATTCTTTGCATTCTTTTGCTATTTTCTGCGAGAATAATTATATCTGGAAATAAGCAAATTGGACATATTTGTTTCCTAATATAATGTATTCCTTTTCACTTTCACGTTTCAATGCATTTCATTAGTCATTTTGTATGATGTGTCTTTTTCTTTACCATATTCTGTAGAAAAGACAGTTTTAATGCATTGAGAGTTATGGGTCTGAATAGAATATCAAGAACTGTTTTTCCTTTGAACAATGAGAAAAGTGGTATAAAGGTTTTTCTTTTTGGTGCTTTGTACAAATATCAGGGGCAAATTTTGTGGGAGTTTAATAAAGTTGTAACTGTGAAATAGGTATCTGTAGTTTCTTTTAATCACATGCTGGTGTAGAGGAACTAAGTTATTTGAAGAGAACTTAGGAATATAAGTGTTTTAACTCATCTAGAACTGGTATGGAATCATGGAATGCATAGACTGTCCTTTTGGTCATAGTAGGAGTAAGGGTGATAGTGGGGTCTCTATAGAGGATCATGCTGTTCCGAAGAGTGATATTTTTAAGTATTTAGGTTAGATTATTAGTGGGATTTGAAGAGGGTAAAATGAAGGGGATAGCAGCGTAACAACCAATGTTTTGAAAACCGGCTAAACATCACCCGGAAAAGGTAAGGGTCAATGGTCAAATCGAACAAGTGGTCATAATTATTAAATAAATAAATGAAAAATATCTATAGGAGTGTAAAATTTGATATATTGTTTTATTTATTAGACTGTTTTTAGCAAAGTGCAAACATTTTCATGAATTGGATTCTCATTTCCCTTTCTTTGCCCTCATTGCGGTGCAACTGTACAACAGCCATAATTTGTCAGTTTGTTCCACATCGGAAATTATCAATTTCTACGAGAGAAGGAAAGGCTATTAATAGAGCTGCCTCATGGGTGGAGTCAAATTGTAGCCATGCGGTCATTGCATGCATGTGAATTTTCGTTTTTTCTTTCAAAATTTATAAATTGATCCTTGAAAACTTGGAGATCAGTCTCCGGTTTTCAATGCAGTTTTATGACTTGAAGGTTTAAAAGGTTAAATGGCCAGTCTTTGGAACTAGTTCCCGGTAGACCGGCAAGGACCTACCAGTTTTGATAACATTGGTAATAGTCAATTATCTCTTGAAGTGTAATTTGCTTTGTTTTCACTATGTAAGCTTTCACGATTAGCTGTCTAACTGCACTTTCTTATCTTGCAAATACACAAAATCATCTCTATGAACACCAGACTGAATCTTTCATTTATTTATCCCATGATGCAGAAAAAGGCACGAGAAGTCTTTGCCTGAACAGAGGCTGGGGAAGGTAGCTGCATAAAATTCTGGTCATAAGGTAAAATAAAGTTCTCATGCTTCATAATTATTATTTTAATTGAAGTTTGCCTTAGAGCATGTTTGGTTGGCTTATCTTAAAGAGGGGCTCCAAATGTACGGCTTATGTTGCCTAATTTTGAATGTCGGTGGGTCCACATTGAAAATAAGCTGCAAATTTGTTGCTTATCTGTAGATAAGTCACCCCAAACAAGCTTTTATATTTATTTTTCTCAAGTATCTAAATCAGTTTATTTCAAAACCCTGTAAATATGACTAATATTGGACATTGAAACTAAAATATTAGCGACAGACTTGGAATCCACAATTCATGTAGTGTAGCTTTGCTTTAATTCATTAATGTTTTAGAAAACCAGCTAGTTGGAAAAACTAATTGATGATGGCTATTTGCTCTTAAGTATTGCTACCGAGTTCTAGTCTTGACAATTCAAGTACGTAGAAAACATACCTGCATTTTAAAGCGCGTGCTATGTGCCAGTTAATATTATTTGTGGAATTTTCTGCTACTCAATTCTGAAAATGAGATGCAGCAATTGTCAAATTGAGTGGATACATCACAATGTTTTTCCAATTCAATTACATTGGATAAGAAAGTAGGTAAGAGTACCATAACAAAAGTGGCAGAGGTGACTGATTTTGTTAACAAACAGTTGCCTATCAACTATTTGGGAGTTCTACTTTTTGAAGCATAAAAAACACCCCTTTATGAAGTAGATTTTGAAAATTAGGGCAAAATTGGCTGGATGGGCCAAGCTATATTGTCACCAGGGGATAGTCAAGTTTCCAGACATATCATTGCCTGCATGGATAAAATTCACTTTGTGCTTGGGTTATGAAGGCTGAATATTGTGCCAAGGTAGGCATCCTTTGGAGGTCCCAATAGAAGTGCGTGACTCTTCTTTATGGAAAAGGCTGGTAGCTGCGAGACAATAGCCCAAGAGTAAGAAGCATATTGCTTGGATATCGGGGATGACAAATCTCATTTTGGCATGATCAATGGATGGGGGAACCATCCATTGTGATCAAATACCTTATTCTGATTGCTCTTCTAGTAAAGTTTTGTGATTTTATGAAAGAAGATGCTTGGGCAGTCAGTAAACTTCGAAGTGTATTGCCATTATTTGTTGGTTAAACAGATAGAGGTTCCCAATTAATGAGTTTGGCATTGAACTTTTTCAAATGGAGAATTCTGTTCTAAATGCTGCTGGAACGAGTTAGAAACCAAAAAAGCATTCAACACTCTTTTAAATTTTTATGGCATAAAGCTATTACACTACAAATTTCTTTCTTTTATTGGAAATTATGGCATCTTTGGTGGCCTGTTAATGACATTGTCCAGGTTGGATGCATCTTTCTTGGCATCTCAGTGCCATTGTTGACTACCTAAAATAGCTACTGAAAGGTGTTACCCACCTATTTGTGCAGATTGAGGCCATCAATGTCTGGAAGAATTTTGCTGAGACATTCCAATTAGCTCAATGCCGCAAGATGGTGTTAAACACTCTTTCAAGCTAGGAGATTTTCCAGGTAATTTGTAGGTATGGTTCTTGTTCAAGTCTTAATACCTTTATTTGTGTTGTGTTTTATCTGGACGTAGTTCAAGCAGAATTGATAGCCAAGAGAAATTGGAATTGGGATATTAGTATTGCTGCTCATCTTGGTGTTGGATGGAGAGTCAACACTCTTTGCCTAAATTTGTTTAAATGGATTAAACCTAGCCAGGGTGAGTTTAAACTAAATACAGACGCTATGAGGCACCTATGGGACAGGCAGCTGAAGGTGGAGTGTAAGAAATCCAGAAGGAATAATGGTTACCAGTTCTATAATGAGTGTACTAGCTTTGTGGCTGTATTTTGTAAGCAAAGAAATATTAAACCAATACAGGTTGAGGTAGATTCCTCAAGTTTAGCTAACATTGTGCAGAAAGAAGGAATTGGGCATCGGGATGTAATCTGTCTACTGGAAGAAATAATTTTGTTATGCCAAGAATCAAATGGATCTATTATGTATATGTGTAAAAAGGCAAATACTGAAGCAGATTGATTTTGCCAATAAAGGATATAGTTCCAAGTTAAGCAGAATCGTGGAGAGAGATAATTTACAAGGAAAAATAATTTGGGATCCTAAAAAGGATCAGATGGGTATCCCCTAGCTAAGGACTAGAAGAAGCAAAAAAATCAACTTTGTTTCTTAAAATTCAGGAACCAGTAATGGAAGGATGTAAAAGTTCCGATGATATTGATGAATTGAGGGATGGAAAATGTTGGGACAAATAGCCACAGATTCAGATTGAAGAGACTGATGCAGTCGAACAAGAGGTTGATGACTCCTCTGACTAAGATGTAAGAGGAAACCAGGTTGATAACTCCACTGAATAAGATGGAAGTGAATGAGGACACTATCTTTTTAGATGACTATGCCCTGATTGAATGATTGCTTAGTGTGATTTTTAACCATATAAAGTGCTGGGTGTGCTGTGTGCCCCTATGTGATGAACATTATATGTGCTTATTTTATAATACATCTAGGATGTATGTGTATGTTCCTCTGATTATATGCTTCTCCTATAAATATAATTAGGTGTGATATCACTAGGGTGTGATTTAACTTTCTGCTTGTGTCTATCTTACACTTCGATTGCTATATTATCTATGATTGTGGTTTTTGCTTGTTTGGGTTTCATTACAAGTTCCTTATAATTAAAGGTCAAATGTCAACATTTAATTTAATCACACATTTTTGTTGGACTTACAACTACTATCTACTTATCTACCACTCATTTCTATCACATTATAATTTAAGGAACGTATAATGAAACCCGACCAAGCACTTAGTTGTTCGACTTGGTGCTCTCCTAAGAAACTTATATCTTGTAATGGGTGGTAGTTCTCCCAATTTAATCTTTGCAAAGATAAACTTTATGCCTATTTGCTTTAAAATTGTAAGGGTAGTAGTACTTCTTAGTTTATGTTTCATTAGATCCTCTTGTGCTTTTGAAGGTAAGGCCCCTCCTCTGTACTTCACTTGATTAATAAGTTACAGGTTGGGGATGGTGCCAAACTCCCCATCAATGGTTAAGCTGGAGATGCATCTATTGTATCTTTGCCCGTTTCTAGAATTATTTTTTTATCCAACCATAATGTCATCTTGCAATTTCTTTTTCTGATTGTGAAATCTGCTTCAGTTGATACAGAATAAAATCTGAACTTCAGTAAAAATCAGGACTGCTCAGATCATTTGGGATCGTTCTGGATTTATGGTTTGAGTATAATTATTTTGCAGGTAATTTGAATCAATGCATGCTGGACAATGTTGCCTTGCTTGGAAAATGTTCTCTGCTCAAAACTGGCCAATGAAGCATTTTCCCTGACATAGAAAATGATTGAGTAACACTTTGTGGAGTTACCTGGGAGGAAAAAAAAAAAAAGAAAAAAGAAAAGAAAGCCCCTCACTTCATATTGGTACATTGTGATCAAACTGATTTTGCCTGGGATTTTCGGCAATTTTGATCTTAAGAGATTGTACACTTAAATCAATGGAGGAAACATCTTGATAGTGGTAAGAATTTTGGATCAGATTTCAATTGATTTGTTGTATTTTAGAATTACTTGGTTCAGTGTGTAACCATGATAGAATATCCTATAAGCCATGGTGTTACATAGTAGATGGATATGTTGATGCATTGACAGTTTCTTTTTATTCTGTAGTTTGTATATTATGTTGGTTAAATTGTTCTTTAGGCTATTGGAAATTTGACCTTTTAAATTTCCTCTTCCATGGAGATTATGAGTGTGGTGAACATGTTGATATTACTTTTACAGACTTGGTAACTATGATGAAATTTTCATAAGCTATATTTGCAGTTATAAGAGTTGAGTTACTGTGAGTGCTGCATGACATGTTCATATGTTTTGGAGCGTTTATGGATTGTATTCCTGGACGTTATTGGACATGATAGTGAACAAGATTTCGACTCTCTGCCCCTACATTTATTTCTGAACTTCATTGATGCGATCTGTTCGGATTTGATTATTAGTAATAGTGGTGAGGGCAACTAAATGTGTTGACAATAATGAGTAATTGTATTGATATGTTGTTGAAATTAAAGTTTTGAGTTTGATTGGACAATAGAAGTAACCTTCACGTTACTCAAAATGTTTGCCAACATAGATCGCAGTGTATTATTTCAACGTTTGTGCCAAGTGAAGATCATTTAACATTTCTTAGTATTTTTTCATACTTAGCCACGCTAATTCTGGTTATTTATTTTTTACGCATTTTTCCATTGTCATCCCTCATGGAAGACAAAATATTAAGGGTTTGTTTGAGTCCTATTTTTTATGAGAATATAATTTGTAATTAATTTTTTGAAAAATGTGTAGTTGAAAGTAAGGAAAAGATATGAATTTTATTGGAAGAATGCGTGGTTGAAAATGAGTTTTAGAAAATAAAAAGAGTTTTTAAAGAATGATGATCAAACATGAGCTAAATGTCTATTATGCATGACTTTTAAGAAGTTAAAAAAGAACTTTTGAATCCATTTGGTTGATTAAATAAATGTGTTTCTTTTAATTAGAAAAGCTTTTAAACAAAGTTAATTCAACGTCATTTCTTTAAATCTCTTTTGAAAAAAGAATTTCTTTTAAAAATTAGTTTTTAAATATCAATTTAGGTGATTCTTTTGTCGTCTCTTTGATTATTGTCCTATTTTTTGATGAATCATGCTACAATGGTATAATGGTTGATATAATGTCACGTGACATCTTAACGTTGGACGGTTTAAAACAAGGTCCATTTTTTCAGCCAATCATTTCTGGTCAAAATCTATTATGTTGAAGTATCTATCAATATTTTTCTGTCAAAGTGACTTTACCCTTTTTTGATATCTTAAACCATTTAACTAATTTGTAACAGGTATGTAAGCAAGTATGTTAGAGTTCATTTGATTGTAAGGATGGAAAATGAGTGGAAAGAAAATGAATTCAA